CCTTGCTCCTGGGCTGCAGCTCCCCAGGCCTCTTTATTCTTCATCAAATGCTCCTAGCTGCTCCTGATTCAGTGAATCATCCCAGAGGCTGAAAGAAATGACATTCCACAAGCTTTCTCCTGGCAGAGTCCTTCCCATCGTATACTGTTGTAGCTGTTAAGTACCGTGGAGTTGGTTCCGACTCATAGAGACCGCACACAGGGTTTCCAGGGCTACAAATCTTTACAGGAGCAGAAATCCTCATCTTTCTCCCATGGAATAGCTGGTAGTTTAGAACTGCCGACCTTAAGGTTAGCAGCCTGATCCGTAACCACTACGCTACCAGAGCTCCTTATACATCCCAAATATCACTTCCCTCAGTGAGCATTCCCCCCAGGCCGTCCTCTCCAATGTTGCCTGCCCATCATAGCCTCCTCATGAAGCCTGCAGTCTGGTGATCTTTGGGGTCCTATGACCACTAATAGGCAAGTGAGAGGGGCTCTCATAGTAACAAGTCCTTTGTCATTTACTTATGTATGCAAATGCTCCTTGGAAATTGGTGGTGAAAAGTCTCAGAGGTCACCTATTCCAGTTTCCTCTGCAGGGCAGGAGCTCTTCCAACAATATCCCCCCAAGATTCTGGGTCTGTTTGCACACATCCAGGGATGGAGAACTCTTTGCTTAACATTGTGGGCACCTAATTCTGATTGTGAAAGTTGAACAGTAAATAAGAAAGCCCGTAGAATTGATGCATTTGCGTTACAGTGTTGGAGGAGAATATTCAAAGTACCAAGGACTACCAAAAGAACAAACACATCTGTGTTGGAGGAAGTACAGCCAGAGTGCTTCTTGGAAGCCAAGATGGCCAGACTTCATCTCTCACACTTCGGACATATTGTCAAGAGGAACCAGTCACTGGAGAAGGAAATCATATTTGGTAAAATGGAGGGTCAGAGATAAAGAGGAAGAACCCTCCAATGTACATAGGGTTGCTATGAGTCAGTACCGACTCGATGGCACCTAAAACAACAAACTTCTGATGGTTAGAAAACACTTCCTTGTATTGGGTCAGAGTTTATTCCCCTGGAATTTCTTCCCTTTGGTTCTAGTCATTCCCAGCCAAGCCCTAGAAAATACATTTGTAAATTCTTCTCTGAAACAAGTCTTCAGGAGTCCGAAGACGCTACCACTCACCCTCCCTTGGCACTCAATTAAAATTCCTACCTATAGACAAACCTACTTCTCTGGCCACTTGTGCTGGGGCCCCTCTTGCCTGTCCAGCCTTAGCAGTTAGTGTTCTCTTGATTTTCCGTTGGCACTTTTCTTTTTTCACATAATCTCCTCTATACCCAAGCTTCTCTAACCCTCTCTACACTGAGGACAACCATATTAATATTTCTAACTTGAAATTACCAGAATTTTATATATCCAGTTGCTCCTAAACATGTCTACTGTGATCTCAAACTGCAAGTGAATTTGTCTTCACATTTCTGTCCCTACCTAATGTGTTCCCCCCTGTAGGTTCCTTATCTTGGAGAAAGGCACCTGCAACTACCAATCTGAGCATCATCTATGATTGCTCCTTCCATAGCAACGCCCAAGTTCCTACAGTTCTCATCTTTGGGACAAGCCCAGACTTCACCTCTCCACCTCCAAGTCTGAGTCTATCTATTCATTCTCCACATTTGCTGACTGCTGTTGTATTATTCATTGTCAAAAAAAAAACATATCCAGATCAGTCATGAGGTATGACACTGTCTGTGATAGGATAATATCCATGCGCTTATAGGAAAGACCAGTTCATTCAAATTTATGCACCAACCACTAAAGCCAGTAAGTATGAAATAGAAGAATTCTACCAATTTCTTCCATCTGAAATTGATCAAACGTTCAATAAAGAGGTATTGAGGACTTGCGGTTTGGGGGCGGGGAAAGCAGAGACAGACAGTGAAAACTCCTTCTGCCAAAATCCAAAAAAAGCAGAGAAAGAGTGATCTGCATAAAAACTGCAGACTTTTGGATCTTGTTTAAGGTTCTGGGTGCCAATTTCCCGCACCCATTGAGAAGAAATCTGCCTGTGGAAACAAAATACGGTGGTTTCTGAATCAATCCAGCTGCGGCGGCTAGCAGCCAGAAGTCCTCAGGCTTCTGGGATGACATCAAGAACATCATACATGAAGAAATCAAAAAGTCATTAAGAAGACAAGATAGAAGGAAAAGATCAAAATGGATGTCAGAAGAGACACTGAAACTTGCTCTTCAGCATAGAGATGCTAAAGCAAATGGAAGAAATGAGGAGGTATAAGAGCTGAACAGAAAATTTCAAAGGTCAGCTCGAGAACACAAAGTCAAATAGTACAACAAAATGTGCAAAGATCTGGAATCAGAAAACCAAAAAGGAAGAACAC